GATGTACTTTCTGGTGCTTTCATTTCCAGAGACAGTTGTAAGTTGTGTGTGAAGATGCTGGCCGTCATTCGCCACTTCCACGAGGGCATGAGGGCGCGCGCCCGAACGGACGACGGGCAGTACTCGGAATGGTTCGACGTGGGCCAAGGCCTCCGACAGGGATGCAACCTGGCCCCGCTGCTGTTCAACTTGTTCTTTGCCGCGATGCTCATGGTCGCCGTGGCCGAGTTCGACAAGGACCCCAAGGTGACGGCGGACATGGTCAAGATCGGGACACAAGTGGAGTACACGGGCAAGAAGGGCAGGTCGGCGGGGAAGAAGACGACGGTGGTGACGGACGCGGAGGCCTTGTGAGCCATGCTCTACGCTGACGACGCGGCCATCGTCTCGCGCTCGCCGGAGAGTCTCGAGAAGATGATGTCGGTCATCGTGCGCGTGGCCGGCCTGTTCGGACTGATGGTGTCGGAGCCAAAGACAGAGATCATGTGCATGCTGCCAAAAGGGATCGAGGAACACCCGTTCACGGTCAGCGCCGCCGGCCAGACGTACAAGCAGACAGATCGGTTTGTGTACCTCGGACGTACCATCTCCGCGGACGGGAAGGCCGACCGGGAGATCACGAGCCGCAGCTGCCGAGCGTGGAAGTGCTACCGCCGGAACAGTGCTTCGATGTACGACAGGCGACGGGCCAACCGCCAGCTCAAGATCCGGCTTCTCCAGGCTGAAGTGGTGGAGACTCTCCTGTATGGGTGCGCCTCGTGGAGCCTAACAGTGGAGCACTACACGAAGCTCACTGGGACCCACCGCCAGTTCCTTACACGGTGCATCGGCTGGAGCAAGCGGAAACGCTCAGACCGCCCCCTGTCCTATGCCCAGGCCCTCATCCAGGCAGGCTGCGAGGAAACCATCGAGGCCACCGTGCGCAAACGGAGACTGTGTTTCGCGGGCTTTGTTATGTGCATGGAGGACAGCCGCCTCCCCAAGCGCATGCTGTTAGGAGCGATGGCGGGGGGCGTGGGATACCGGGGCGGGCAGGAGAGCGACTGGGTGTCTCGTCTAGGAGAGGACCTCGTGGCCTTCAACATGGGAGACGAAAAGGAAGGGGGGAAATGGAAAAAGAGCGTCAAGGACCCGGAGGTGTGGTACAACAAGGTCGAGGACGGGGCGGCATGGTTCATGAGGAAATGGCACATGCAGGAGGCGGAAGCGTCCGCGAAGCGCCAGCGCGCGAGGGAAGCAGAAGCAGAGAGTACGGCCACCTCAGGACCGAAGAGAAAGAGAGCCGGGGAAGCGGCGTTGGGGGGGAAGAAACGGCGACCGGGCACTATTGTAGAAGCGAGTAGGGCGGCCGAGGCAGCACTTGTGGCAACAGAATTATTTAATGCTGAGGAGGGCGCAATTCTTTTCAGTAGAGATATTTTATGTAGTAATACTATATTCGACCACTATTATTATATATTTTTAGGAGACAGACATACATACGTACGTACGTAAGTACGTGGTAGTCGTAGTGACTTTTAGAGAGAGGCAGCGTATGTATGTATGTATATAGTCTATCATCGCCTACTCACTCTCTCTTTTTCTCACTCAGTCTTTGCTTTGCCCCCCGATCGTTGCCGTGCGTGTTTCTACGCAACAATATATATATCAAATAGAATAGGCCCATTGTCTATGTTGCTTCCGGCACACATCATGATCAGTAAATGAAGATGGCGCTCGCACTTAAAAACTTGGCAGTTCAGAAATGCAGCCTCGAAAAAAAACATCATCAAAGAAATTGACCGCATAATAATAATAACACGTGCGTGCGTGCTGATCAGACCCCGACGTGTTGCTAAGAACAAGAACGAACCCGCCTTTCTTTGTGGTGTAAGAACAGAGGCCCAAAAACGCGACAGCAGCTGCAAGATAATAAGCACTCAGGAAGGAAGGGGCGAGGAGCTACTCGCGGGGTGAGTGACCGGTGGGCAGTTTGTTAGTAGCAGATCAGCGGCGAGCGAGCGAGGAGGTTCCTTTGAAAAATTGGAAAATAGTCCTGGTGCGGAGATTGGGGGGGTGTACTGTTTTATTTTTTGCGCGTCTAACGGTAGTCAACTATAAAATCGGGCTTACAAATATATGCCGGCACTCTTGAAGCTTTTTTTTTTTATTGCCGCGAATGTCAAAAAAATCGGTGTGTCGTGTAGCCTACTCAGTGGACACCGGCTGGTACATAGTTTTCGCGGCAAGGCATGGACATTCTCGGGCTTGGACAACCTCGCCTGCAACCAAGCACAGATACAAATGTACCTTACTTAGCTGGGTTTGGGCCGGCGTTTCCGAACCCTGCCTGACCTTGGAGGTTGGCAACGGTGCGCCCGACCGGGTTACGCAGGTTGTATGCATACAACGCCTAGGGATTACAGGTCAATTTAACCCCCCCGTAACCGCGCCCACTGGCCACCTGTGATATGTATCTATCTATGTCAGTGTTATTCTATTTTCGTCAGTAGTAGTAGTAGTTGTGGTAGTCTCGAGGGAGCCCACAGAAGAATCAATATTCTAGAACGCATGCTTGTACGCTCTTGTTTGCCGCGCTATGCTTACGAGACTGATCTACCATTTTCATTGGTGAGCCGGTTGAGAGCCATCTATTGCCGCCACCCAACGAAGACCACACGACGAGACGACATGACTTTTCATTGATTGGTTGGTCATCGTGGTTCTGGCAGGTTCGTTTTTCAGAACAAAATGGGGTATCCCTAGCAAATATATCGCGGAACCCCTTGAGGCCGCTCGAACGTGGTAATCCATACCACTCTCCCCCACTCCTCTCTCTGTCTGTCTCTGTCTCTCTGTCTCTCTCTCGCTCTCTCAGGCCTCCGCGCTCATGATGCTGAATCATGTGCCCATCACGGACGCCCAACGTGAGTGCTTCGATACATATGGCTGGCGCTGGCGGGTTCTTTGCCGATGGCTTCCCCAGCCCCGGTGCAGCAAGTGACAGACAACATGCTGCTGTGAAACGTACTCAACCCGCCCGTGAGCCCATAGGAACAAAGGCGCACAACGAGTGGCAGGCAGGGACAGCTGTGGGCGCGTACCTTGTTTGCGATGCTAGAGAGGAGGATGGTGGGGACATTGAGGGTAGAACTTCGCTGCGTTTGGTCACGTTTTGCTGTCTCGGATCATGTGTTGTGAACCACTCGGCAGGAGGACATGCTGCTGCCGGACTGCTGCTTGCTGCTGATCTCCACTTTCAGTGTGTCGGCGCATGTACATATGCACCAGATCTACGTCTCCTCCATCCCTCTTGGCTAAGGGTCTCCGTTTGTGTGTGTCTCTCTCTCTGTAGGCTTGGGGCGCGGCAGTGCAGCCAGTTCTTCCAAGCCACGCAGCCGCGGTTTTCGACCAAAACCGAAGAAGGCCGTTCCTGCCGCAGCTGCCAGCGTCGGTGGTGCTGGTGGGGACGTGCAGCGCTCCATCAACTCTGGGGTACGTGTGTGCGGGGGTGTGTGGTGGGGGGGCGAGGCACTCGTGTGCTCCGCCTGTAGCTAGCTGTGCGAAATGTATGTTCTTGAACAGTTACTTCCTGCTGCTGCTGCTGCTGCTGCTGCTGCTTGTAGAGCAGTCCTGTGCATCCTGCAAGCAATATGTAGCTAGAATGAAGCCTCCCGTTTTCGTTGTTGGTTAGGACTTGCTGGATCTCATTCTTGTCCTCCAGCGGAAGTACTGCTGTGGTCTCATCTCTTTTAACTGGGGGATGCTGCTGCCCCGTTGGGCAGGGGCTGCTGGCGCTTACTTAACCCGTGCTCTACTGCTGTCTGTGGCTGTCATCTGCCCCGCCCCTCTCGCCCTCCTGCAGCCGATTGCCCCGCCGCCCACACCAAAGCCGGACCCGGCTACCGCAGCACCCGCCATCGGCGCAGGAATCGGCAGACCGGGGGTGCCCAAGCCGTCCAGCAGCAGCAGCAGCAGCAGCAGCAGTCGCATATCTTCTGCGTCCCTGCTAACTTCCATGCCCTCGGCAGCGGCAGCAGCCCCCCGGAGGGAAGCGCCGGCGAGCCGCGGCATCGGAACCATTCTGGCAGCTTCTTCGTCGCTAGCTTCTGGTGGGGGGGGGTCGTCGGCACGGTTAGTGCCCGGTTTTCCAAGTTCTGCGGGAGGGAATGGGGCAGGAGCGGGGTCGAAGAGCTTGCCGAGGGCCGGCTCAAGCTTCATCGCTACGCCCGGGAGCTCCCTCAAGGCTAGTGGTGCTGGTGGTGCGGAGGTGAGGGTGCTGTCAGGAACAGGAACCAGCCCATTTTTGTGGGGGTGAACACCACCGCGGCCGCAGACAAGACCGCGGGGGGGGGGAGTGCGTGGGAAAGAGGTGTACTGTAGCCTTTTGGTAACCAAGGAGCCTTGTGAACAAGCAACGATAGTTGTGCTCTTGTGTTTGAGCATTCCTTCGTGTTTTGATGAAACAAGCTTGAATCCGACGTTTAGGCTTTGTGGGTTCCTCCTGAGCAAATGCTCACGCCGCCGCTCGCGTGGTATGGTGGGACGAAGGGCTCTGGGAGTGGGGCGGGAAGCCTGGTATTCTTCTCGTGGAGCTTAACTTGGCAAAAGGGCAACAACAATGGAAAAGTTGTCGTCCTCGTGGGAGACGGGNGGGGGGGGGGGGGGGGGGGGGTACGCAGAGAAGTGCCTTGTCGTTGCTGTTTGTGGTTGGGTAAGAACGATGAAGCCGAACACATGATTTTTATTCGGCACTGCTTCGGAGAGTACCCGAAAACGATGGTAGATGAGAACATCGGGGAGGACAGCAATACATTGTAGCCACTCCACCCTGCAGTCCATCGTCACTGGCGACGTCCGTCGACGTTTTGGGGGGTCGCACACCGGTGGGTGTGCGTTGCACGCCGGTGCGTGTACCGAGCCGGAGTCGTCGCACAACAACTTCGACTACTACCGCAAGTGAGCCAAGGTATATCAAGCTCATCACGAGGGCAGTGGCGAACTCCGTCGAGGAGATGTCCTCGAGCCTGGGAAGCGATGACGACAACCTCTTCGATCTCGTGCACCAGTCGACTATCCACCACAAGGTCGTCGACTAGTATGTATTACACGAGGGCGAAGCGGGTGTTGTCATCGCTTCCCAGGCTCGCGGACATGTCCTCGAAGGAGTACGCCATCGCTCCCGTGATGAGCTTGTTTTGCCTTCCCTGGATTGTGGTAGGAAGGCTCCGGCTCGTACACCGCTCCGGGTTGTGCCCCCCCTCCCCCCCCCCCCCCCCCCCCCCCCCCCCCCCCCCCCCCCCCCCCCCCCCCCCCCCCCCCCCCCCCCCCCCCCCCCCCCCCCCCCCCCCCCCCC